CATCTAAAAATTCATCAAGAATACACTTAATGTAATTCATAATGCATACATTAGATTTGTTCATTTGTATATGGCAATACGTGGGCAATCATTGAGGGAGGATGCCTCCTGGGAGAACTTTCTATGAGAAGCTGGCACCTTTCTATGAGAAACTGGAACCTGGTGCCAGCTTCTCATAGAAAGTTCTCATAGAAAAAGGAAAGTTCTCATAGAAAGTTGTCGTGTTCGGCAATTGACCAAATGGTCAATTGCCGAACACGACAATTGCCATTTGGTGGTACATCTATATATATTTTGAAATGACCAAAATCAACAATTAAACAATGCTGTTAATTTAATAATATTTTTTAAACAACTTTTACAGTATAAAAATAATTCGTTCATAAAATTTATATAAATACCTTTGACTAATTTCAGCTACGTGTTCCTGCAACCAGCTTGAACTTGAAGCTCCAATAGTATCGTTGATAGCACGATTGTTCATTCCATATGTAACAATCAGATGACAAATAAATGCAACAATAATTGCTGGAAGATATCGTCCCCTGAAAAGTATTTGAATAGAAATTCACTTATTAATAGTGTCTAAATTACAAAAACTCTTAAAATTTGCATTGCCAGTTATAGCATTTAAGTATGTGGTAACTGGCAACACACTTGCATATTAGACAAAAGTCGCAAGTTCAATTTATACTCGGATATTTTTTCAAACTTATTAAAAATTTAATGAAACTAATTTCAATTTACTAATCATTAAACTTTTCAAAATTATAGTCATAACATGCCTTTAACTTAGATTCTACAGGATGGTCAAATGAACTTAATTGGTGATACCAACAAGGAGTTTTGATTATTATTCAAGACAAATCTTGGATGTCTATTAACTATAAAGTATTTCTTGCAATACGTAGCAGGGCTGTAACAACAAGATTTTCATTTCATAACCCATTATAATTATTAAGATATTAATTTGTCCAATTAATCTTGATATTTTTGACAATTTTTTGCATTTAATTAATTCTCAATTGATAAGTTATATTTATTATTATAATCTCAAATCAAATTTTCATTTAAAGCTTATGCAAAAGTTTGGAGAGAGAACTTTCGATATTATTATTTATATTACTATATTGTATACAATCTGCTGCAAAAGTTTTGTGCATTTGGGCTTAAATTGAATTAATTAGTGTGAGAAATAACCTTACATCACACAATTTCAAAAATAAAACTTGTCATTCAAAATAATACTTGAGAATAAGAACTGAAAATTATTATTTCAATGAATAAACTGATTGCTAAAGTTTAGAGTAAATAAATAAATTGTACATTGTCCAAATATAGGCTATTTTGTAATTATATACAAATAATTATAAAATAATTTACATGTAGTTACAAATAAAGTATATATACATATATACAGTAGAGCATCAATTATCCGAATCAATTGGGGACTGGGTTTGTTTGGAAAATCGATTTTTCGGATAACCAATTATGTACGAAAAAAATATATTAACCTATCCCATTCGTTCAAATCCTGGCACGTCCTTAAGTACCCTATCATGGTCATGCCATGTTGCCAGCTAAAACACGCACCCCTATAAAAATAATATTAGAGTAGCCCAAGACATAGCCAAAGATTGCAGCACCACAGCACTAGTGAAAATTTAAATTTGCCGACTGAAAAGCTTTTGATTAATCGACGTTTCGGTTGATCGGCGTTCGGATAATCGATGCTTTACTGTACATTCATAATAATTCAATTCAAATGTACATTACAATCAGATGAAAATAAATGCAACAATAATTGCTGGAAGATATTTAATGGGGATTGTTATTTGGGGATGCTTTAAAGTTACTGAAAGGTAATGTTTTGCATAAATTTAGTTTGTTTAAAAATAGAAAAGTATAGAGTATAAATTGATGAGCATTCAAAAATACTTACGTATGGATCTCTGGTGGTTGAAGTAATCTTTCTATACTGTGGTATAAAAAATAAATAAATTTTTAATTAAAATTTATAGTTAAAGAAATAAAAAGACATTTCTCAAAACTGAAACTCTTACCTCTGTTTTATAATAAATAATGAACTTAATTGGGCAAGTATAGTTGATGCAAACACAGCAAGTACTTCAAACCTTTCGTAACTAAAAATATTTTAAAATTTAATTAAAATAAATTTTACTTTAAAATGAATAAATAAAGAATAATTTGACAAAAATTGAGAGAAATTTTAGATTATTACCCAAAAGTGAATATAGAATTTGGTTTTTGTTCTTCTGACCAAAGACTGAGTAGACTCGTAAAAAGACTAAAAAACAAAAACCATTTTAATTGTTTCAAATAAATTATTTTTGATTTTTTAAAATAATAAATTCAGTTACATAAATAATAAAATAAAGACAATTTCTTTAAAACTTTTCCTTTTTTCTTTATATTGATCCTTTACTAAAATGCATCAAATGGATTTTGTTGAAGTTTGTGTTCATCATTTGATCTGGCAGACAGAAATGTTAAGGTAAACTTAAGTGTTTCTAGTTCACAAATCATGTATTTGAATCGCATTTCAAATATGATGTTTGAGTTTGCCAAATTTTAATGGGGATTGTTATTTGGAGATGCTTTAAAGCCACTGAAAGGTAGTGTTTCACATAAATTTAGTTTGTTTAGAAATAGGAAAGTATAGAGTATAAATTGATTAGCCTAATGAATATGGCTATAATAAATTGAAGAGTTTATCATATCAGGTAATGATAAGCCCTTTAATTTATTATAGCTGTATTCATTAGGCTAATCAATTATACTCAATTTACGTTGTCGGCTAGAAGTGTTATTTACTAACAGAAAAATAGCATTTACTAAACAATATATGCTCAAAAAAATTAAACACTCAAAACATAAAACTGTTCATTATTATTATTATTCAAAGACTGAATTTATTCAAAAGCAACATATCAAACTTTTGGTGAATTGTTGGAAGTTGAATGTAATACAATAGTACAGTTAAAGACTAAGCTTTCTTCCATCATCATTAGTTATTCTTCAGAAAATATTCTGTATACAGACAAAACAAGACTGATGTTTCATGTTCTCCCTTACAAAACCTTGTATTTCAATAATGAATTATGCTATGGTATTAAAGTAGTGAAGTAATGACTAACAGTTGTGCAAGTATGAATGGAGAATGCAAGAAACATCTGGTAAGTGAAAATACAGTGAAAACTGCTTAGGCGACCACCTGCATTCGACGGGCACCTGCCAAAACGGGCAAAAATTTCTGGCACGGAATAGTTTATCCATAGAGTNAAGTATATTGTGGCCCAATCCTTAAATATACAAGTATATTTAAGTATTTACATGTCTAGATTATAGTAATAAGTATTAAAACTTTATCACAAAAAAGGATATTTTAAAAAATTACTTCACAGATACTTTTAGTTTGTACTTAGAAATAGATAAATTTATTTATTATAAAGGAGACAAACAAAAATTTATTTGAAAAACCCAAATATTTGTTTTATTTGGGTCTTAAAACAATGAAACACCATTTTAAAGTGCATTTTTATTCAAATAATATGTAGCCCAAAATGTAGCCAATGTGCCAAATGATATTTTTTACACCAAACTAAAAAAAGGGTAGCCAAATTTGGCACAAAGTAGCCAAATCTTGCAACACTGAAAGGAATATTAAATAAAGCTAGAGTTGGGATTCAAAGGATTATGGACCCAAATTCAGGGAATGGAGAGAAAGGTGAAAATATAAAGAAGTGAGAAAGGTTAAATAAACCTGTTATGCAAATATTGATCCTTAATTTTCCAACCTTACTCACTTCTTATCATCTTTTGGCCTTTCTTTTCTTTCCCCGAATTTGGGGCTATAATTCTTTTGAGTCACGACTCCAGCTTTATTTAGTATTCCTTCCTCATTCACAATTTCAAGTATTTGAAAATATTTCCTTTCTATTAAAAAATAAAATATGTATAAAGGTTTACAGCATTGAAATAAATAAATAAATAAATTTGTCGGTTTTGTTTATACGTTTATTGGGGCGCATGCAGCCCGCAGGCTGGACACCTCTGCTTTAGACAATACTATACCATCTGACCTGACCATGAGATAAAGTAGGAAGTAATAGATTTTTGAAAATTAAAAATTTGCTTCTCTAATAGTACCAAGAGATTTCATCACCAAGCTACAAAAATTTTAGACTTATAATCTACATTTTTGGTGTCATTTTATGATAGAAAACTAGGTATTTTCTAGGAAAATAACATGAAATTCTGTGGTGTAGAAAAGGAAAACTGTGCAAAAAACTTTACAACAATTTTTGTTCAGAATTAGATAAGTTTGATATAAATTGACAGCAATAGTAAACTTTGACCTAGAATATCCTGGTGCATAGATCAAATTTTCGACTTCATCATAATGTCGGCCTTGCCGGGAGGTACATATTTGCAAAAAATCACATTTGGTGCCTTGTGATTGCTTTAAACTTCAATCACAAACAAAACACTTTCTGACTTAGTAGTTTTTGTGTAAGGTATAAGCAAAACTCTGCATAATTACAGTATCAAAATCACCATTTGTTTTTCTTTTCTAATATGTTTAATTTTTATCATATAGTACATTGTTATTACACCATTTGTCAGAAAAGTTCCAGGACAAAGCTCGTAAAAAATAGAAAAATAGAAAGTGTCTGGAGGTCTTGGAAGCAAGCGGAGAAGCAAGCAACTAAAAGGGACAAAATGTCCTTTTCAGTTGCAACCCTTTGTGTGATTTTTCTTGTTTCTGCGAGTGAAAAAGCAACCGACATTTTGTCAAGATATCACAGACATCCAATGGACCGTGACAAATGAGCTAACAAGCATCACACTTGAAGCTTTCTCTGCTTGCTTCCAAGACCTCCAGAAACATTGGCAATTGTGTAGAGATAGCTGAGGAGACTACTTCGTCAGGAACAGGGATCATTACTTGGTAATTGCAATTTTCTATTTTTTACGAGCTTTGTCCTGGAATTTTCTGACATAGGGTGTACTATGAATAACATAAAAATAGATTTTGAGTAATTTTATTGACTAAAGGCTTATTCTAATACTAGAAAAGTAAGCATGATGATGATATGTGTTACTATAATGCTTCACTCAAATCTTTTGAAAAATAGTTTTCCTAACTCAGTCTTAAGTTAGAGATAATCTTCAAACATAACTATTCAGAACAACAAATATAAAAGCAATGATAATACATTGACTAAAATTTTGAATGTGAAAATAAAAATTAACTGTTATAATTTATGACATTATTCTTTCCCCAATAATAATTAAAAATTCAGTTTATAAGTGAAATTACTATTTTTATACAAATTCCATCATCTGCTATTAATTTGTTTCAAAATGAAATGATAAAAACTAAGCAATTTTTAAAACTGTTCAAGGATAATACAGAATTTTTTAATGAAACTATATCTTGAATGATTAACAAACTTTGAAATCAGCAAGATCAATTCAGTATTTTTAAAATTATATGGCAAACAATTGTTAATTTCCCAATTGTGTCATTGATCTTTTAAAGACTGTCCTGTAAGAGTGATGAAATTAAAATAACGATTGTCAACAATCAGCCCTTTGTTTCTTATGATCTCACAAGAAAAAATTATATATTGAATGTAACTGAAATTCACTCCCAATAGGATTTTTCCTCTGTATTTAAGCAGGCCGATATTAAAATTATAATAGTCAGGACTGTCTTGTTATAAAGATGTATTTATTAATAAACGATACTAGAAATAAACTAGTTTCTTGTTAACTGATTTTCAATTATCTATAGAAGTCCTTAATATTGGATCTTAGGTCAACAACACAAAAATAAATATTACTATTTTGTTGTTTGAATAATATCAGAATTATTTACAGATGGTGTTTTTAGTAGTATTAAATTTGTGTTTAATTTTGATATAATATGTATGACTCATTGACACTGTCGCCTTTGTTATTTATCAGATTTGAATTTATTATTTGTTCAAGACATATTTGGATTATTAAGTTAAGCGTGCACTTGGGCGGATGGACTAAACTGGCCAAGCAGGCAGAATTGTATTGGTGTGCATGCACTTGATCACATTTCAGTGGCAGACTGAGCAGAATTTAGAGTAAGAGTGAAAGTATTTAAACAGGATTTTTTTGGGTATGAATTAATGTCCATGAAAAATTAAGTGGTAGAGAGCTACCTATTACTGGAAGAGGATGCTGTAAATTTATATAATTTTTTGTACTTTTGTTCTAGAGAAATGAAAGTTATATTTGTGACAATGCCGAAGGGTTCCCCTATGCTTCGGCACCACAGGACCGAAGGGTCGACATTGCGTCGGCAAAGACCGCAATGACAAATTTATCAGGACTGACACCTCTGTGTCTTCTGGGTAGACACAGAGACCGTTACGTTCGCATTTACGCGTGAGCAGTCGTGTCTGGCCGGTTGGACTTGGGATGGAGACCATTTGAGGAAGTCAACACAATTCTAACAATAACAGAATTTGTTTATTAAACTAGTTCTACAAAAGGGTATTTACCTTAATGCTTCTTTGCAAGAACCGAGTTGGAGAGAGAGAGAGAGAGCTTACATAGCATCGCGGGTTGTTATAAATACCTGAAGCACTATATATGGATTTCCAGATGGCTGTGAAGTCATTGGGGAGCCTTGGGAATGTCTCTGTTGCCTTGGATGGTGGTTAAAGTCTATCAAAAGTTGAGATCCGTTGGTTCTTCGTAGGTGTTCCTGGAGAAACATAGAATATTCGGGAGGAGCGCGCGGCAACGAGTGATGATAAATCCTTTCGGCAGGCACACACGGAATATTCTTGCGGACTCTTGACCCCTCTCACTGTTCCTTGAGGTCTCCTCTTTATTTCCAAGTCACATTGTTGTTTTCCACTAATAGTGAATTTTTAGTTGTAGTTCCCAGTGACACAATCTGAGTTCTCTGGGAAAGGAAACGACTCTGGGAAGAGAAATGCACTCATCCTCCGGTAATAAAATGGAAAAAGTTTTTTTTCTCTCCGAGATTTAAATAAATTTCCTTTTCAAAACAAATTTTCTTTTGAAAAATTCCCGAATAGAATTGTGGGGTTTCCCCTTTCCAAGTCCGACCTCTCACGTATCTAAATTGTTTTTTCAACAAATAAAACTGAAACTAATAAAAGAAATGGACACAAATGACAGCATTTGCATAAAAAAAAAAATTGTGATTTCTGTTAATAAACAGAGTGTAGATTTTGACAGCTGGCACTTTGATTAGTGGATTGACAATTTGAGGCA